CCCCCCGCCCGCCCCGCCACCTGTCTCTAACCTGTGCCGACTGCTTGCAGGGTTCACACGGGCTTCGAGTGGAACAAGTACAACCAGACCCATTACGACATGGACAATCCTCCTCCTAAGATCGTGCAAGGTTACAAGTTCAACATCTTCTACCCGGATCTAATAGACAAGAATTCCACGCCGGAGTTCTCTCTGGTAAGTATACCAATTCTCGGAACCGGAGCCAGTCTCCATACAAAGTTGTTTAATAACATTTTATACTTGCACAACTAAACTTAGGTACAACCAATTTTATACTCGAACACAAATTATTGAATAACGAAGGGTGTAGGCAGAATCATCAGAACTTCAAATGACACCGTCCTGACATGCCTCTTTTCGCTTCATCTACATTTATCAATCTCTTCGTGCACGCTCGTTGATTGAGGGTGCTTCTAATTTGACCGTTTTTTTTTAGTAAATTGTCTATTTTTTAGTATTATATGTATAGATTTTATAACAGTTTGAATTGTCGTATTCAGAAACCGTGCCCCGAGAATCCAGATTTCGCAGTACTGAGGTTCCACGCGGGCCCGCCTTACGAAGACATCGCGTTCAAGATTGTGAACCGCGAGTGGGAATACTCGTACAAGCGCGGCTTCCGCTGTCACTTCCACAACAACATCTTCCAGCTGTGGTTCCACTTCAAGAGATACCGCTACCGCCGCTAGACCGCCATACACATTATTTACATGCAAAATGAACAACTGCATTAAAAATATATCCGATGTGACCGTCATTTATTAAATGGATGATGGGAATGATGTTATATTGATTCTCATTTCTGCCTTTATTTTCACGATCGACAACACCATGTTATCCAGCAAATTAAAATTCTTTTGTATTTTACTATAGATTCCTAAATATCTAAGTTGCTCGAACACTAAAACAAATTATTAGGTTAAATCATAATTTCCACATTTTTTCTTAGTTGTTTATTTGTAGGTACTGCTCTCTTTGGCCTTGGCTTTGGCTTTGACTGCCTCGTTGGCAGAGTGGTCGCAAGTGCGACTGTCTCAGAGACACCGCCACAACGACCTTACCCCTGGACACTGCAGTCCTCGTCGTCCGGTCCCTAACGCGCATGATGGCGTCCACCGTGGAGCGCCCTCTGCGGAAGCCGAACTGGCCGTCCGACAGGTCCGGCCCAATGTACGTCAAGTGCGCGACGAAGCGGTTCGAAATTATTCTTTCAAAGACTTTCCCCACCTCGTCGAGCAGCACTATGGGCCGGTATGCGGACGGAGAGTCCGCAGGGCGCCCCGTCTTCCGCACGAGGATTACCCGCTTTCCAGAGCAGCGGGAACTGGCCTCTCTCCAAGCATGCGCAGTAGAAACCGATAACCGAGGCCCGAGAGACTGAGGCCAGGACCCATGCTTTGCCATGCAAGTCGTCGGGTCCTGGAGCGGTGTTCTTGGCGGCCATTCGGCGCACCGCCGCTCTCAGTTCTGCCTCGGTCACCTCTGAGACGATGTCGTCGTCGTCGCTATAGCCCGCGTCGGGCACCGCAGGGATCATATACGGAGGGGTGAAGCTCCTCCACAGTCGGGGGAACAGGGCGCCAATCACCTCCTCTAAGACATCTGGCCGGAGACTCTGAGTGAGCGGGGGAGCCCAAGCGCGGAGCTTGTCGCGTACCATCCGGTACGGGCGTTCCCACGGATCTCTGTTCAGAGTCTCCAGCATCTCTCGGTGGGCCTCCTCCTTGGCCCGCAGTATTTCCGCCTTGAGGACTGCCTTCGCCGCCCTGTATCCCTGGTTCAACTCCGCCTCTCTCGCCTCCGCATTCGGAGGACGGATGCGGCGCCTGCGGTGCCTGGTGCACTGGCGTCACGCAGTAGTGCCTGGTGTACTGGCGTCACGCAGTAGTGCCTGGTGTACTGGCGTCACGCAGTAGTGCCTGGTGTACTGGCGTCACGCAGTAGTGCCTGGTGTACTGGCGTCACGCAGTAGTGCCTGGTGTACTGGCGTCACGCAGTAGTGCCTGGTGTACTGGCGTCACGCAGTAGTGCCTGGTGTACTGGCGTCACGCAGTAGTGCCTGGTGTACTGGCGTCACGCAGTAGTGCCTGGTGTACTGGCGTCACGCAGTAGTGCCTGGTGTACTGGCGTCACGCAGCAGTGCACGCCTTGCGTAGAGCTGCCAGCTGTAGCGACCACCAGTACACCTGGCGCTTTTGTTGCCTCGATCGGATCCGGGGCATCGCCACGTCACAAATCCTGGCCATGGCGTCCTGGAACCACTTGGTCTCATCGTCAATATCGGCAGGCCTGACCAGTGGTATCACCCAGGCCTGCACGATAGCGGCTTCCAGGAGCAGCTCCCGGTCCAGCTGTTTCAGCGTCCAACGCGGGCCACATGGGGCTTGTCTGACCGGCGGGTCCGCGGACTCGGCGGGGACGTCGAACCGGATATACCGGTGGTCGGAGTACGCTTCACCTCCTCCATGACGTAATTACTACAGCCGCGGTCCTAGGGGCGAGGAGCAAGGCAGCAGCCCGTTTCTCCCTGCGCTACTGCTGCCGTCGCTGCCGCTGCGCCTTCTTACGACCCTCCTTGGCGACTCTCCTCGCCTCACCAGCGATTTGCCACCCACCGCCGTCCTCCGCTCGCGGGGCGGGTTCCACCACCGCTGCCGCAACTCCAGCCTGCCGGGCTGGAGTGCCTCTCCTTTTTTTTGTTTCGCCCCGCGGGCGCAGGCGCAAACGCCCAAAGTTATAGTATAGGTACTTTTGTTTGTGTATGTAATATTGCGAGCAAGACTTAGTGGATATACATTTGTCTGACGTGTAGTGAGTCGTTTGGCATGTGTTGTTGTTTCAAGATCGTTCAAAAATGCGATACAGATTTAGATAGTACAGTCTGGTCATTTCTGCGCCCTGTGCCTGGGCACCGCTGGCATCGCCCAAGGGGTCTCGGGTTCGATTCCAGGGTCGGGCAAAGTATTACTGGGCTTTTAAAAATCTCAGTAGAAGCACGGAGTCTGGAAACGTACCCGGTATATAGCAATAGGCTCACGCCCTATTATATGGGACTCATAACATAAATAGTGAAAAGTGGGTGTTACATTGTACAGCGGCATTATATGTCCTAATGTGCACCTCTGTCTACTCCTTCGGGGATAAAAAGGCGTGATGTTACGTTACGTATGTACGTTACGTTGTTTATTTGTACCTATTATTACATGTTTACCTACTTATTACAATGTAGTCTAATTTTACGTATACTTTCAAATACGATAGTTTCCTATGAAGTTTGTACAAAATACTAGCATAATGACACCAGATTGTTGCGACAAATGGCATTATTAAAAAATAAGAGAATACGGACGTTTTATTAAATTGAGAGGTCGAGATAATTTATTTTGCCTGAGTGAAACACTCAATATACACATGCAGTTTACGATGCACACACTGACACACAGGGCCGTGTTTAAACTATTTGAGGCCCTGGGCACATTAAGATCATGGGGCCCCATGACCTTGAGAAAACACTGTTAAGTTATAATAGAAGAATAGAGAAAGAAAGTAGACAAACAAGGTTCCAAATTTATTTTTATTCAGTTACCTACTAACTAAAAAAAATAAGAAATATAAAAAATAATCGACAAAGGTAACTCGCATAACATAGAATTCTTAAATTAATTCTATGTTGATTGCAAAGGTACCCTTCTTTCAAAATCTATAGTATCGAGTATATCACATTCTATGGACATCAGCGACTAACTAGGTACCTAATCTCTCTTCAAGCATTGTACTTCTTAATTCCATTTTTAGGAGAAGAAGCGTTCTCCGCTACAGTTAGTTACCATCATGCTTAAATATATTCTCAATGCAATTTATACGTTAAGAAATGTGTCTTAAATTTTGTTTTGCTTTAATACATTATATATATACTTCCTGTACACTGTTAGGTGCTTCATTTTCACTCTGAACATTATATAAGTATTCTTTTAAATGTTGACATTCTATTTCTAACTCTTTTTCATACATCTTCCTGATAGATTTTAGAAAATTATTTGCATCCTTGCCGTATCTATCTGATTCGGGGGCCCCATTCGATTGCGGGGCCCTGGGCACGTGCCCGTAGTGCCACTGTGGGAAAGAGGGCGTGAAAGGGGGAGTGAGTGGCCTAATAACGGCCATACCCTAAAGAAAATGTCCATGGATGGCTTTGATCGTTGATATTTTATTTAAAACCCTTATTATCAGGCAACTATGGCCCATAGATGATAGAGATATACTTTACAGACTAGCATACAAAATATTATATACAGTTGATTTTATTAGTGTTAGTAAATTCGCACCAAGTCACTGCGCGCGTGTGGCTCTTGTCTGCCAGAAGTCCTCTTCCAAAAAAAGGTGGAGAAAACATGTTGGCATTCTCACCACATCAGCCTTGAACTTACCATTGTGGGTCAACTCCAACAACTGCGCTCTCACCCTACATCTGGTCTTCTGAAGCACGTACTCCACGATGTCCTCTGCCGTGGTGGTGTAGATTATACTTTTATACCATGGTGTAGTGTAGTGTAGGCAAGGATAATACCACCAGGTGACCTGGCTGCTTGTTTGCCTCATATTCCATAAAAAGCTCTCCGAGTCTATGGGAAGTACCAGTTCTATTTTGATGACCATGACATGAGTGAGTGAATGTAATTAATGCGAAACTTTGCTTTCGCATAACTTTGGAACTAAATGACCTATAGGCTTGAAATTATAGGTTGAATTGATATTAAATTTGTGATTACAGCTTACCGGATGATGATAATTTCTGCGATGGGGCAAATGGGGCCTGAAAATACGGCGATATGGTTCCAGTAAAGGATAGTCCGGCAGTGTTCGCTTCGTGCTAGAGTTGGCGGGGGCACTGCTGTGCCCCCAGACCAGATTCAAGATAGATCGGCCTCTTATTTATTTATTTTGGTTAACCAACAATTGTTTACACTATATACATTACTGATTAAATAGATAAAGAAATATTTACAAGTGCAACAATTAATTAGGTTAACACCACATGCAAAAAATAAAATGTTAAACAAATCATACAGATAAATAACAAGTGATTCCATGGGTCAAATCTATCTCAAAAAGAAAATACATTAGGATGTCTCTTCTATTAGAATAGCTTTATTTCGACAAACCACGAAAAATTTTTATTGGTTTTGTAATATAAGAATCCATTCTTATATACCTATTACCATACCTTACCAAAATCATCATTAAACAAGGTAGTTTTTATACTTGAAAAAAAACTACAACATAACTTCTTCATTGCTGTATGTAGCCATTCTAAAAAACTCTTATTTCTGATATAAAAAAGACCTACTTAAATAGAGTATTTACCCCCAGATATTTTCATGTAAGTACATAATAGTGCAAAGTAGGTGTCAAATTGTGCAGTGGCATTAACCCGTCGTGTGCCAGAACGTAGATCTACGCGAGACAATGAATTTTCTATTGTGTCTTATATACCGGCAGTCAAGAGGTTAAATGCCGTAAGAATAAAAGGGTCAGTATGAGAGTAATTTTGAATAATTATTATAATATATCAAACAATAAATCAATTTTGATGATTTTAGGTTCTTTATTTACATGGATTTCACAAACATACTATTTTCTCTAAGTAATTATATTATTGTTTCGCCTTCTCATCAGCTGCATTAACTACTTCTTCAGAAGCAGGATTGCTGCGGAAATTAGGGAATTGTTCCCAAGGGGCACTTAATTCAAAACGCCTGAACTCTTGAGCCAATTCCAAAGGCTCTACTACCACACGTTTTTGCTCATCATCATAGCGTACCTCCACATAGCCACTTAATGGAAAATCTTTTCTAAATGGATGACCCTCAAAACCATAATCAGTCAAAATTCTCCTCAAATCAGGATGGTTAGCAAAGAATACTCCATACATGTCCCAGATTTCTCTTTCATACCAGTTTGCAGCTTTGAAGACATCATTGGCGGAATCGACAGGAGTCAGTTCATCAGTGTATGTCTTGACTCTGATCCTGGCATTGTACCGCAGAGACAGTAAGTTGTAAATGATCTCAAACCTGTTGGGTCTGTTAGGTACATCCATGCCAGCAATGTCCACAAGATTGGTGAATTGAGCGCTGTGGTTGTCTTTTAAAAACTGCAAGACTGGAATAACACCCTCAGGAGGGATAAGAACTTCCAATTCATTCCCAGCAGTAAGTTGAACCTTTTGTACGTACTTGGGCAAACATTCTGCAACATATTTGCCAAAGTCAACTAGATGGGTTTTTTGAAGAGGATCAACTTTGGCCACAGTAGGCCGTGTTTCGGCCTGGGGGCCAGCCTGATTAGCTTTTGTAGCAACGCGCACAATGACTGGAGTCTTCACATAGTTCAAAATGTTGCGTCCCCAACATACAGTAGCACCGACGGTACGTTTCAGTAATAATGACATCTCGTTCGATAATATTTTCAAAATAAACTTACGTAATGAAATTCGATTCAATTCTATTACAACCCACACCACACCACTCACACCAAAACAAGACGAATGAGACAAATATGACATCTGTCATTTGTCACTTTGTCAGTGTAAATAGATGAATATATTTTTTTTTTATGGAATAGGAGGCAAACGAGCATTCGGATCACCTGATGGTAAGCGATCAGCGCCGCCCATGGACACCCGCAACACCAGAAGAGTCACAGGTGCGTTGCCGGCCCTTTAAAAAGGAGTACGCTCTTTTCTTGAAGGTTTGAAGGATATGCCGCAAGTTGCATACAATTTTGGTTACACAAATATCATGCTAATATGAAGGTCATCAACAAAAATATATCTGTCTCATTCTTACACGTTGTAAATTTCATATGTAAAAAGAGATAAGCATAAATCATAAACTTCAATTTCTGGTAACATTTTTCATTTGACGTCACCAAGCTCCGCCTTGAGGCCAATTCCGCCATTTAAGAGAGACACATTCCGCTCATGTTTTGGGTAGATCATCTGTCAAAAATACAGTTTTTGGAAATATTTTCGGTGTTACAGTGGACTGTTTCGATATTAATAGCGGTTTTGCTAATTAGTGAAATGAATCTGAACTGAACTATCATGAGCAAGTGTTGCATCAAGGGATGTAATTCAAATTCACGTAAAAATGAGAAGATTGTCATGTTTTAGGTTAGTTTTAATTTTCTTTGTTATTTATATATACTTCTTGTGTAAATTATGATATAAGTCTTTATTATGTCTTCTAATTCGGGTTTCCTACTATTATGTATACTTTCATAAGACTGTTATCACATAAATTGAACTAGTAAACATTTTAATTGTTTACATTTTATTCATAGTACATTAAAAATGAAATCCTAAAGGACTTGTGGATGGAAAAATAGGCAAGGAGAATATAAAACATGCATCAGTATTAACAATATGCTCCAACCATTTTGAAGAAGATTGTGTGAACAGAACATTGAATATTATTTGACTTCAAGATAACGTAATTCCGACTCTTTTGAGAATGGCCAAATTTTCAATGACACTATCAGTGAACATGAGAGTTCTCATAAACTGTTATTCTTTCATATTTAGATATAAGATATAAATATTACGGCAAAAAGCATGACCAACTTGTATAAAAAAAAATTTACAAAATTAATATTGTTTCGTCATGAATATATTATTATAATCAGCAAAACGTTTGGCATTTATTCATTATGATGCACTCTGACCTACCCCTGTCCACATTCCAGCGTACTGTTTCACATTACAGGAAAACGTACGGTGTTCGATGGTATATGAAATAAGTTCAGTCTACGTGATTTTGGACCAACGTTCTATAGCCAACTTTCTCTGGAAGGGTCAGGTTTTTTTAATACAGTACTCGCTTAAGAATCTTATATATAAAGTTATCGTTGAACACAGGTTTCAATGGTATTGGTATTTATAATATTAATGAGATTATGATTACGTGAATGCTTTACTATCAGATGTACCCTTTTAGCAATTCTTTTATTTCTTTGTTTCGAATTGAACTAAATGATAAGTTATTATTTTATATTTACATTGAATTTCCTATGTCGATATGTTATGTCGACGTAGGTACAACACTATTGTGGGCGGGGATTCGTCATTTTTGAGGTATTTTTGGCTTCAAATCACGTGACCATTTTTCAGATCCCCTATTATACATCTATGGTGATACCACGACCGCACAAAAAACTTACTTGCATTGTGTTTCGTCTCACGAAACACAATGCAAGTAGGTAAGTTTTTACCACTTTACCAAATTACCCCCCTTCCTCAATCCCCGAAACAATCCTCATAGAGTTTAATTATTAAAACCCCATGGTAGCCGCACACAAGTCTCTTATTTTCACAAAACATAAAATACTCTAACGACCTAACGAGCTTCTTTTCTTCCGTGTCTATGAGTGCTCCTGTCAACTGTCAAGCAAGGTGTCTGTCAGTGTCAGTCAATAACACTAAACAGTCACATGTCAGTTAGTAAATACCATGATCTTGCTAGTGCAAATTTCGCAAGTGTTTTCTAATTTTTTAACGCCGAGGGCTGAACAAGCCCATTGTTTGTAAAATACCGAATTCTTTCAAGGACAACCTTAAGTAGTGAATTGAGGGAAGCAATAACGAAGAAACTCAATTGATTCGATAGACAATTGACTAAATAATGTTATTAATCTTGAGTGTGTTTGTAGCGGCGGTTATATTCTAGTGACTACGGTAAAGGCTATTTAATTTAGACAACTTTCAATTGTTATTATACAAATATATAACATAACATAACATTTTTTT